TGATCAGTGGCATTCTGCGTGAACCAGGCTATACTGTTGTGCCTACAGAAGAGCTGGATGCAAAGACTAAGCTGTCTGAGTTCAAATCGAGCTTTATCCGGATGCTCCTCTGTTGTCATGAGTCATAGGCCACGACCGAAGAACGTCGATCCCTGGTACAAGCGTCAAATGCCTCGACCGACTTTTCTCCAAGCTCGGTTATCTTCTGTTGATGCTCAGAGGCTGGCACAGTCTTGGGAATGTTGGTGACACACTCTGTTGCTGCTGCCTTGGCGACCTGAAAGAATTAACGGTCGTCGATGCTGACCGACTGAATTGCATTAACTAACGGTGCATTACGGACTATCGCGCAATTTCTTTGAATGTCATTTTCATATGGTGATATGACTTGCATTTCGCAATGATCAAAAGACACTCCTGGTAGAATCCTTCAAACAAAACTGGCTGAATGCTAAGGGTTTAAATCAAGAGCGTTCCACCGAACTTCTCTGGAGTACCACCGCTCAAAAATCGTCGTCTTCCGCTATGCCGTCGTGCAACAACACTTCGCCTGTTCTGGCAGGTTAATTTTGCATCAGACGAATAAAATGATTTTGCCTCACACTTAAAACATTTCGATTCTTCGGCAAACTTTACAGATGTACCCATACGCAAAACGATCAATAAGCGAAATATTGCCTAGAAGGTTATGGAGGCTTTCATGAAGAGGATCATACGAAAAGAGCAAGGAGTAAACTGCTCAGAATCAAGGGTATTTTATTTGAACCCTCAATCTCTATATTATAAATTAATATCGTGAAAATGAAAATTTGAGGATAAGATCATACGTGACTAATCCATGCGCTTCAGGGCTCATCGTCATGAAATCAGTCGAAATGAACAAGTACGCTGGAAAACAAATGCGCAGATGTCGTATTGCTCCATCTATGGTGTATCGATTTGTAAGTCGTTGTAACTCCATGAACTGTAGGTGGTCTTTAATGGAAAGATTAGGCGATTTTATAGATTTATTAGAAGCGATAAGAATGAATGAATGAAAGGATGAAGAGGCGAATGAGGGAGAATCAACGAATGAATTAATTGATTGATTGGCAAATCAGCCAGCAAATGAATGAATAAATGAGTAATCGAATGAGCAGAAAAAGCAAATGAGCGAACGAAAGAATGAATGGCAAAAGGATGCGATGAATTTAACAATGATAGAATGCACGTGAGCATGCATGAATGGATGAACAAAAGAATCAGCGAATGAGTGAACGACGAACAAACGAATGGATGATTAATTAAACGAGGGAATGAGCAAATGAATGAACAAGCGAATGAGTGATTGAACGAATAAACGCGCAGGGAAATGAAAGAACAAGTGAATGACCTATTGAACAGACGAGCAAACGAAAATTTGAATGAATGAATAAGTATGCGAATGGATCGAACGATGAAAAAATGAATGAATGAATCACAGAATAATTAAATGAGGCGTAAAACTCTAGTGTGACTAAGATAAAAGAAGCCGACTGAGCTCCATCTATTATTAATGATGCCACAAGTGCTATCGGATGCACATACGCAAACCATGGACTAAAAGACCAACATAAGTCAGGGATTTTGCACCATGCATTGTGTGGTCCTTGACTGTGGCTATCCAAGTTATGCACAGGATGTTGGTCATTTCTCCATCTATCGATTTCGTCAGTCAAAGTTGCTCGGACCTTTTACGAGGTAGTTCATGGATCTTTGTTCTACGTTCAGTGACTTCGCACCGTTCCCTTTCTCCAACTTGCAAGATGGGGCTTGGGGTTTCAAGGCATATTACACCACACCCTTACTCCTAGTTTCCTGGAGGGATTTGATCGTGAAGGAACATTATGCGTTATATGACAATCTCTAGTGCACGAACATATTTTCATATTGATAATATAACACATAAAGAGTACCAGCTCCTGTAACAACGTTCGTTATGAGCGTGAGGTGGTTCTAGTTTTCGCAAAAATCAAAACGATTCGAAGTGCAGGTGTTCAATGCCATTGAGCCGTCGCCTTCGGAAATGCCCTGAGGCAACATGGAGCAAAGGTTGCTACAATACGCCTGGGAAATCTGGCCTTGGTAAAGTTATTAGTTGTTCAGTAATCTTGATTAAATGGTGTCATAGTCGTTTGAAAACTTTGATGGATTTTGTTGCTTATGCAATTATCGAGCCCTACCATTCATACTGAACAAAACGCAGATTCGAAATGAGTTTAGAAGATCAAGCTTAACTGCATTTATTGGGATGTCTAATTAGATCTACACGTTTGGACAACATTACTTGATATAGTTTTCAAAGTCTTCACTAACCTCATAACCTAAAAGATTTTTTTCTCTTCTATGAATATTTTTCACGAATCACCTTACGGATTCTCCATTAATATTGTTCTTCGGCCATCTTCTCTTTAAACGATGGATGTCACGGTAAAAAGATTTAACATACTTTAATCGAGAAGTAGTACTTAAGGTTGTCCTAAACTTTAAAAATTTTTTCTGAACTGTGAGTATCTTTTGCCTGTACACAAATACGTAGCAGTCACCTATCATGAGGGTCAAGGAAAAGTGCAGTTAAGAGTTAAAAGTCACATTAAGCAGCATGGACATTGCTGTCGTCCGTTCTGGTACGATCACACCATAACAGTATGCAGTTGTCTTGCCCGCAAATTCAACGACCTGCTTGAGGTTCTAGGCTGGTTGCAATGAAGCAACGTGAGGTAAATTCCTTGCTCGGGGGAATTAGCGGTAAAGGTAAGTATTGTCCCTTCTTAGGAATCGAACCCGGTTTCTCCAAGATTCTAAGCGTGCAACTTCAAGCTCCAATTGCCGTTGTCCCGCCCAACAGTTATAATATTTATGGCAGGTCATAACGTGAAACCCTTTTCGAAAGAATGCCAAAACTGAATTAGCAAAGAATTTTAAGTCGTAAGATGAACATTATGTGGCATGGTAAGTGTTACAGAACCGTAAATACAGTACCTCCGGAAGAAGAATCATTGGGGAGGGGGGCGGACGATCAACTGAAGCTAGTGCAATGGAAAGGACCTGAGACTTCGGTTCTGTTAATGACAAAATACCGTAAGTTGGACCACCTTGCATTAACACGGGACCGCCTGGATGGATTTTATTGCGCACGCCGGTAGAATCGGAAGGCATGGTAAGAAGTGCGAGTGGGTCGGCGGTCATTCCATTCCATTGAGAATACGATACCGTACACATAAGACAGAGGACTTTACCATATTCGGCTTATTCGACGTTCCGCAAAACTGCAGACGACGTACGGTAGCGGCTGCGGGAGTCGAAGAAACGTTCCGCGAGGTCCGATCCGGCCGATGCCAGGCTCTTGTGTGCGTGAAAGCTTTCACAGGGACTCTGATGTGATCGAGTATACGGTAGGATGAAGTGCAGGGGGCCTTAGTCCTCGGAGTCTGGTGCTGGTCGCCTCGAGGAAACGGAAACGGCGATGTGATGGCATTTTTCGACCACCACCGTCGTCGCCGTTGCTCGTGCCGGCCGTTTCCCTCCCGAGAAGGTCATGGCTCGTTGTGTGGCCGTCGTCGTCGTCGTTCAGCAATAGACGTAGAACGAACGACCGGTCTGCCGTCCGGCCAATGAATCACGTCAAAAAATCCTTCCGTCCAACGTGGCACCGATGGAAGCCGCGTTTGCCACTTCGCCGCTTGATTCTTTTCAGCCCTGGCGTAAAAAATGCCTGGTGTCCACGGTTAATTTTTGCGCCGGTTATTCGAACGGAAAAATTTAAACTGGTCGAAAAAAACTGCCGTCAAAGAGCCGCACGTCACAACCACCGATACTTAGACGTCGGAGTACCGCGAGGTTGTCACATCGATTTCACGTCATCGCTGATTTGCACCAGATTCGAGGCTCTTTCAACTTAGACCTCACAGCCGCCGCCGTTCAGACCAGATGGCAGAGGTGGCTTTGAGCCTTCAGCCCTCGTACAGCCCTGAATTCGACCCTCACTGGCCACTGTGAGCACAAATTGCCGGACGGAACTCATAATCCGCCTGCTTGGTCATAAGATTGCGACCGATAGCCCGTGGCATCGATAGTTTTGAACGCCTTGTCTTCAGCTTCTGCTGCACTCATAGCCGACTACCACAAATTCGCGAACGATCAGTTGACGGCGGTTCGGTGAAGAAATCTGATGATGTTAACCTGATGAGGTTTTTGCCTCATCAACGGTGAACCTGTTTCGTAATGGATTGCGTTTGCAGTATTCACAAGAACCCTCGTCACAATACGGCTTGAACTGAAAATGCCAATCTAAATCTGAACATCGGGTTTCGATACTCAGGTCAAATATGCCAATCTGAAAGGATGAGCAACTTCGGATTTAAAAAAAAACAGCTTAATCTCTAAGTACCTAACATTGCTCATAAATTTATTTACATAATACCCTGAAGAATGTTTACAAATCCCACCTCGGTGCGTTTGTACATGAGTGATCGCTGCTGTTACCCTTGTCGCCACCACTGATTTATCCGGCTTCACTGAACTTCCGGATCGCTACTCCCACACATGTGCAATGTCCCTCACAAGATTTCAGTCAGTATTTCTTCCGTCGGCTGTACCCGTAACACTGTCGGCTCAGAGGAAACCTGAACATCACTCTGACAGTGTCCCATTAGGCTTTAATTTGTCCACTTCTTTTTCGGTGCCACCCAAGATCAAAGTAGTGTTAATTGGAATTTCGTACTGTGGGCTCCAACAAATGTGGTT